TAATATACGATGAAGATTTCATACCATTGAAAGAAGTTTGAATGAATAACATAATAGCGTTTTGCATATTCACAAAGGACAATTCAACAGTTCTTTTCTATTGCGCCCAAAAAAGCACATGTAAATATAAATATGATATCGAAAGGATTGCAATTTTGATTTACTAGAAATACCAACGATTTGAAATAGCGTTGTCATTTTCTGGATAAAAAAAAAATTATATTTTTGTTTTATTTTACATGTACAGTATTTCTTGTTAATCTTTGATGTATATTATCTTTTTATTTTAGTAATGCTAATAGTTGTTATTTGTTATGATTTTTATTACTTTGTTTGCCAATTATTTTTGTTGTTTGTCCTGGTTTGTTATTGTATTGTTTATTATTGTCGACTTGACAGCTTATTATTTATGATCATTCATGATTTTACCATCATTTATCGCTATTAATTATCATTCACTACTCTCTCCTCTTCTCTCTCTCTCTCTCTCTCTCTCTCTCCTTCTCTTCTCTCTCTCTCTCTCTCTCTCTCTCTCTCTCTCTCTCTCTGTCTCCTCTCTCTCATCTCATCTCTCTCTCTCTCTCTCTCTTCTTCCCTCATAATCTCTCTCACTTCTCTCTCTCTTCTCTCTCTCTCTTCTGTCTCGTCGCTTATTTCCTATCTATCTATCTATCTATTATTTATCTGTCCTTGTCTCACCCTGCTCCTCTTCCCCAGCTCTCTCCTCTGCATTCTCATCTCTCTCTCTCATTCTGCTTTTCTCCTCTTTTCCTTTTCTTTTCTCTTTCTTCTTTTTCTTCCTTCTTCCTCTCTATCTCCCTGGTCTCTCTCTCTTTTCTCTCTCTTCCTCTCTCTTTCTTCTTCTCTCCTCTCTCTCTCTCTTTTTCCATTTTCTCTCTCTCATTCCCGTTTTCCTACCTTTATCGTATACGTGAGGAAATTAACCAACAATTAAATGACCTTTTGTATACATTGAGTTTTTATTAATTCTCGAAAAATAGATACACCAATCAAAATTATAGTTATGCAGGATATGAATTCTCTAAGACATTAGCATATACTACACGTGACAATTAGTCTTTTGGACAATCCGTTGTTGAAAGGCATTAAACAAAAAAAAACAAAGAACTAGAAAATGTGGAAATAGGTTTGTGTTCCTTGCGCATCGTTGCACTGTTGCTCGTGTGAACGTGGTTTATGTGAGAAAGAAAGAGAATAGGTTTGTAAGTTTGTTGTGTGTTGTTGTGTGTGTGTGTCGTTGTGTTGTGTCTGTGTTTGTGTTGTGTGTGTGTTTTGTGTGTGGTGTGTGTGCGTGTAAGTGCGTGCTGTAATGTGTGGTTATTATTTATTGTGTGTGCATGTTTATATAAGCAAGAAAAAGTACAGCGGCAATGCGTGCTGTGTTATGCGTGTACGCTTTTACACTTCTTCTGAAAGTGCGTCTTCGTGTACACGTCTCCGTCTGTGCGTTGCTCTCTAAGTGGGCCCTAATAAGCGAAGTGCCTCAGGGAATCCACCCAAGCCCATCTTCCTCTCCCTGCGGTCCCTGGCGAAGCCCTGAGGAAAGAAATGCCCTCGGAAGTTAGTCGTTGTTTTTTTTTTTGCTTTTATTTGAGTAGACTGGAGGCGGAGGGATTGGCAGTGCTGGGGAATTTTTATAAAGATTATATCGAAATGTATGCTTGTATGGTATGGATATATGTGGGGGGGTGGGGGGAGGGTGATGTATACAACACAACACTACACGCCTATCACGGATAATATAATATATACATATATTTCGATATCTATGATTTTGTCTCCATACACACACACTAACACAGTCACATTCCACACACACACATACTCACAACCACGTACACACAAAATAAATACGTATTTTTTTATCATCCATCATCTGTTCATTTGTCTCTCTGCCTCTCTACCCATACTCTAATTACTCGTTAATCTATTTAGGAATCCATCTCTTTGTCTACTTGCAAATATGTGTCCCCACTATTTTGCAATTATTTTTAATTCTTCATCGATCATATACCTATTCCTGTTCTTTCCAGGTACGTGTTGACCTTCGCGCAGGTTTTCAGAAAGGTCAGTAATCTAACAGAAGGGCAAGAATGATGCATACATATACACATATATGTAGACAAAATATATATATATATTTATATATATATATATATATATATATATATATATATTATATATATATTATGTATGTATGTATTATATATATAATTATTCATATATGTGTGTATATACATGACTAACACACACACACAAACACACACAACACACACACACACACCACGCACCACACACACACCACACACACACACACACACACACACACACACACACCACACACACACACACACACATTACATATATACATATAGTATATATTATATATATTATTATATATATTATTATATGTATGTATGTATGTATTACAGTTATATACATATATGTAGCATATGTATACATACATATATATATATATATATATATATATATATATATAATTATATATATATATATAGTATACGTGTGTATGTGTGTGTATGCGCGCGTGCGTGTGTGTGTGTGTGTGTGCGTGTGTATAATATATGTGTATTTGTCTCACTTTCTTCAAATAAATCTAGTTTGCGCATTGTGGGTTTTCTATCATATAATATATATATATATACATATATATAATATTACTATATATATATATATATATTATATATATGTATATGTATATATATTATATATTATTATATATGTTTATATACATAAACATAGACATACACACACAACACACAACACCACACACACACACACACACACACACACATATATATATATATATATTACACACACACACACACACACACACACACACACACACACACACACACATATATATATATATATATATATATATTATATATATATATATATATTATGCACACACACACACACACACACACACAACACACACACACACACACAACACACACATACACATATATATATATATTATAGACATACATATCACATGATACAATACACCACACACCACAACACCACACATATATATATAATATATATATATATTATATTATATATATTATTATATTATATATATATATATATACACACACATACATACATATACACACACACACACATATATATATATTATAATTATTATTATATATACCACACACACACACCACCACACACACCACACACACACACCACACACACACATATATACTATATATATATATATATATATATATATATATATATATTAATTATATATATATATATGACTTCCGCAACTGTTACTTCAGCCAAAAGATCCGAGCAAACAAAAATGTGTGGCTACCCGTACCTGTGTTGACTGCTGTAGCGGGAACGCCTGCAGGTCATCCTGGGTCAACACTCCTTGCTCCACCAGCTTATCCAGCTCACCTACCACTTGCTGGTCCTGAGACATAGAGTGAAGAAGATGTTTACTTATTTCTTGGATTGGTCTTTCGTAAGAAGCTAGGTCGATGGTTACTTATGGGTTTCCCTGTCTATCTTGTCTGCCTGTGTATCTATCTGTCTATCTATTTGGTATTATGCGCATTTGTTCATATATCTACGCACTGATATCTAATATTACTATCTACCTGTTTATATCTATATCTATATAATCGATCTACCTGTTTATATCTATATCTACTGTATTTACTCTACTTTTCAATCAAACTGACAAATTCCTGCATATAGAAATCTATTTATCAACTAATATATCTCTATACCTGTTTATCTACCCATCTATACCTCTATCAACGGCATCTTCGTTATATCTACAAAAAAATATAAATCACTATATAAAAAAACAGAGACGACCACTCATTCTCACCCAGAAGAACTCCGGCATGGCTTGCTCTCCGTTCTGTGTCCCGTCCACAGTATGGCCCAGCTGATCTCCCTGGCCCTCCTGCTGGCCATGGTGGACCACGACTAAACCAGCGTCGATGTCTGTGCCTGGGTGCTCTGCCTGCCAAGCTGCGACCTGTGGGGGGATAAAGAGGTCTTGTTACTGTTTGTGAGGGAATGTTATTTGTGTTGAGGTTACTGTAGAGAATTTTGAAAAAGGGGTGTGAGAGATAATGATACATTATATGATAAATGTTATGTGCATGTGTGTGTGTGTGTGTGTGTGTGTGTGTGTTTATGTGTGTGTAGTAAAGTTTCGACGGTACTTCTTTATATTTATTTGCAAAGGTAAATTTTGTTATTCATTTGTGTGTTTGTTTTGGTAGGTTTGTGTGTGCGTGTGTGTATATATCTGTTCGATTATTAGTATGCGCGTGTATGTATGTATATATGTGTGTGTGCGTGTCGATGTGTATGACTGTAAGATATATTCACATTCTCATGAAGAATAAACAATACAAAGCAACCACTCACCTTCTGACCCAAGACAGAGAAGAATTCAGACACTTGTTCGTTTCCCTTCTGGAGTTCCTGCTCCAATTTCTCCAAGACCTGGCTGCTTCGGACCTACGAGAGACATCACCTGATTTCAGCAAATTACTTGAGAGAAAATCCACTTTCTTTATTTGACTGACGGTATTTTTTCCTCCAGTTTCTTTATTTCACAGACGGTATTTTCTTCATCTCTCTTTCTCACAAGTTTATTTTGTTTCTCACTTCATGAATTATAAGTTACGTGAAGACATGCAGAGGAAGAGAGAGAAAGAGAAAGAGAAAACAAGGAGAGAGAACAGCATAGAACCAAGAGAGAACGACATAGAGCAATGAACATGTACTTTTCCACGAAAAGAACTTACGGAAGACAAACAGAAGGAGACAAAGAGACAAGAGAAGAGAAAACGAAAAACAATGCACAAAAAGCCCATTCCCCCCACCCCCACCCACCCAACCTCTCCTTGACCTTTGACCCGCTTTGCAACTGACCTGATCCACGGCGTGAGCGAGTTTCTGGAAGCAATATTCGGCGCCGAGCTGGATGGTCACTGCAGTGAAAATGGTTGCCAAACGTTGCTTTAAGATGGCTAGTTTCTCCTTAGCCTTTTCATAGGTGCTTACGATGTGTTCACCTGCTGTGTTGAGGGAAATGAGGAAGAATCATTATAGTGAATCAATTTATATATATATATATATATATATATATATATATATATATATATATATATATATATATATTATATATATATATATAGGGTATCTTGAAAACAAACATTCTCAAGCTTGGAATTCTTTCTTCTTTACATTTTTTTAATGTTTTTGTTATCAATCACTTGCATCACAGTTATCGCATTATCATCTCTACTACTATTGTCTTTTTCGTTACTACTATTGTGATTATTGTTATTATTATTGTCATTGTTATTGTTATTGCTGTTATTGTCATTATCACTATATTATTACTAGTAGCAACAGCAGTAGTAGCAGTATCGTTATTATCATAATTTGCATTATCATTACTATTATGATTATCATTATTCATATTATTATTATTGCTGTTATTCTTGTAATCATTATTATTGTTATTTGGATTATTATTATTATTATTATTTATTATTATTATTGTTGTTGTTATTATTATTATTATTGTTATTATAATCATTAGTATATTGTTATTGTTACTACTATCATTATTATTATCATTATTGCTATGATAAGCATTATCATTGCTATTATTATCATCATTATTATCATTCCAATCATCATCATTATCATTATTATGATTATTATAATCACTATCATTACCATTGTTGTTATTATTGTCATTATCATTGTTTTTGCTACTGTTATCATCATTATCATCATTATGGCTATTTGGATTATCAGCATCACCATAATTGTTATTAATATCAGTAGTAGTATCACCATTACCATCATTATTATCATCACTATTTTTATCATTACTGTAGTATTCATTTTCAATACCATCATCATTATTATCATTATCATTATTATTAGCATCATCATCTTTATATCATTAGGCCTATTATTATAATCCCTATTTGTGTTATCATCATTATCCTCATCAGAATCAAAATTATACTTATTAATATCATTTTCACCTTTCATTATTATAATGAAAAGTTATTAATGGCTATCTTTATCATTATCAAATGTCATTTATGAAACAGCCGTTCTCACCAAATGTTTGTATGCGCAATACGTGAGTCTGATAAAATTATGATATTTTATCAATATCTGGATGATCTAATCTATTAATTTACTATCTATCAGGTGTTATGCTTGCCTGCAGGAGTTAAGAATGATGAGACTAATCTATTAATTTACTATTTATCAGGTGTTATGCTTGCGTGCAGGAGTTAAGAATGATGAGACTTAACAGTGTGTATTTACTTCTTGTATCATTGTTATCATTTTATTTCTATCATTATCATTACAATAATAATTGTTATTCTTATTATTATGATTATTATCATTTTTGTAATTATTTGTCATTATTATCATCAAAGTTGTCATCATTATCATTATTAACATTATTATCACTATCATTATTGTTATAATTATCATTATTACTTTTATTATTGTTACTATTATCATTATTATCATTATCATCATCATCATTTTTATTGCATTTATATCATTATTGTTATTGTTGCAAGCAATGCCAGCAATAGTTATTGCGTCATGAATAATCATTCAAGTTTGCTTATTATTAGAAACGTAGAGAGAAAAACGTACTTAATTGAATGGCTTATAAAAATCTAGTTTATACGAGACTCGATATTAATACCATTAGTTCAGCAGCTTCTCATGCAAATATGGAAAGGGGGGGGGGAGGAGGGTTAAGGTGTTAAATGGTAGGGGGAGAGTGGAATTAATTAAGGGGTATGCAGAGGGTAGGAGTAGGGATTAGCGGGGGGGGGGGGGGGGTACCTGACACAGTATTCTCTGAAGTGACGTAAGAACACCGGGTAGTTCCTCCACAAGGTTCATTTTCGCTCGCACTTGGTAAAAACTCCAGTCGTACTAGGTAGGAGTATGAGGGGGTGGGGGAGAGGAGTTAATCTTGGGTAGAGTGGGGGTGAGTGAGAGTAGGGGGGGGGGGAGAGGAGTTAATCTTGGGTAGAGTGGGGGTGAGGGGTGAGGGAGAGTAGGGGGGTGGGGGAGAGGAGTTAATCTTGTGGGGGTGAGGGGTAAGGGAGAGTAGGGGGGGGGGTCTTGGGTAGAGTGGGGGTGAGGGTGAGGGAGAGTAGGGGGGGGGGAGGAGTTAATCTTGGGTAGAGTGGGGGTGAGGGGTAAGTGAGAGTAGGGGGGGGGGAGAGGAGTTAATCTTGGGTAGAGTGGGGGTGAGGGGTGAGGAGAGTGGGGGGTGGGGGAGAGGAGTTTAATCTTGGGTAGAGTGGGGGTGAGGGGTAAGTGAGAGTAGGGGGGGGGGAGAGGAGTTAATCTTGGTAGAGTGGGGGTGAGGGGTAGGAAGAGTGGGGGGGGGGAGGGAAGGTTTAATCTTGGGTAGAGTGGGGAGGGGTAAGTGAGAGTAGGGGGGGGGGAGAGAGTTAATCTTGGGTAGAGTGGGGTGAGGGGTAAGTGAGAGTAGGGGGGGGGGGGGAGGGAGAGGAGTTAATCTTGGGTAGAGTGGGGGTGGGGTGAGGGGTAAGTGAGAGTAGGGAGGGTGGGGGGGGGGAGAGGAGTTAATCTTGGGTAGAGTGGGGGTGAGGGTAAGGAGAGTAGGGGGGGGGAGGAGGGAGTTAATCTTGGGTAGAGTGGGGGTGAGGGGTAAGTGAGAGTAGGGGGGTGGGGAGAGGAGTTAATCTTGGGTAGAGTGGGGGTGAGGGGTGAGGGAGAGTAGGGGGGTGGGGGATAGGAGTTAATCTTGGGTGAGGTGGGGGTGAGGGAGAGTAGGGGGGGTGGGGAGAGGAGTTAATCTTGGGTAGAGTGGGGGGTGAGGGGTAAGTGAGAGTAGGGGGGGGGGGAGAGGAGTTAATCTTGGGTAGAGTGGGGGTGAGGGGTGAGAGAGAGTAGGGGGGTGGGGGGAGGAGTTAACCTTGGGTAGAGTGGGGGTGAGGGGTGAGGAGAGTAGGGGGGGGGGAGAGGAGTTAATCTTGGGTAGAGTGGGGGTGAGGGGTAAAGGGAGAGTAGGGGGGGTGGGGGAAGGGAGTTAATCTTGGGTAGAGTGGGGGTGAGGGGTGAGGGATGAGGGAGAGGAGTTAGGGAGAGAGTTTAATCTTGGGTAGAGTGGGGGTGAGGGGTAAGTGAGAGTAGGGGGGGGGAGTTATCTTGGGGTAGAGTGGGGGTGAGGGAGAGTAGGGGGGGTGAGGGAGAGGTTAATCTTGGGTAGAGTGGGGGTGAGGGGTAAGTGAGAGTAGGGGGGGGGGGGAGAGGAGTTAATCTTGGGTAGAGTGGGGGTGAGGGGTAAGTGAGAGTAGGGAGGGTGGGGGGGAGAGGAGTTAATTCTTGGGTAGAGTGGGATGAGGGGTGAGGGAGAGTAGGGGGGTGAGGGAGTGGGTAGAGTGGGTGAGGGAA